CGAGTAAACACTACAGGCTCTCACTCGTGGACGGTCGCGCGCGCACTCTCAGGCACACGCGGGTGGCCGATAACAATATTACGTCGCGATTTATAATAATTATCATAATCTATAAGTGCGCTTGAGTTTTTGTTGTTGTTAGGTATTGGTTACTACTAATTTCTCGTCACTCGTCAGTGTGATACCCGGTGTTGTCGGTGTCGTTTCGTTTTCTCGTGTGTACTGTTGTCCGGATTCCCCTGCCCAGAGTGTGACGCAATACGCCGAGCAGAGTTTCGCGAACATTCGACGGCGACGATTTTTCGGATTTAATTTTTCTGACTTCTCCGACCGGAATTTCAGCTGCCGACGACTATCATGTCGCTGAACACGGCTCATGTACAAGGCGGTGGTTGCCTGATACACGCAGGCGAATGGTGAGTCATAGAAATGATTATGTATGCCCCGCGTGACGTCCGTCGTACCATCTTCTTACGGAATATTATTTATTATTATTGCGGATAGCGTTGCTGAATACCGACGCACTATGTGCAAGATTCCGTCACAGCTGCATCCTCATTGCATTTCGGGTCGCCCTCCGCTCTCCCCTAATTTTTTTCGTCTTCCCGACGAATCCGGTTTAGATATGCCTCCACCGTGAGGGGGGCTTATTCTCCGACGGAACCACGGAACTCGTTTGCAAATGGCATCCGCATTCGAAGTTAGTAACTTGTATACGTCGCTGGCTTGGGGATGCGGCACCTGCCGTCATTAGTGGTACACAATTAGAACACACAAACATCTTTAGTTTGGACTTAGTCCAAGATGTCTAAACAGTGGTTATCATGCCAATTTATACTACAGTACCACTAATGCTGTCTAATATGTTATTATACATTTTTCTTAACCGTGTACCTATTAAGGTAACTAACATGTTGGAATGGAAACCAGAACTGATCTTTACAATACTCAAGATATGTAATGTATTTCACCACTGTTAGCAATCTTCTAGAATTTTCAATGAGGAGTAATCATTTCATTAGACTTTCTAATGTAATTCTATGTAGATTAGAAATAAATCGAAGTTCTAATACTAATGGGTAACAGCATTAAGTATTTTTTCTATAAGATTTTCTCATTTAACTTGTAACTTATTGAACCAGATGATGAAGTTTTTTTTATTTTTTATTCTTAATTGTAATTAAATTTCCAATTTATAATAATAGGTAGCTAACGGCATTTAAGAATTTCATAATCGTTTATGAATAGTATGCATTTGCAATAAATATCAGAAAATTTTGTACCTATTTAGAATATTTTGTTACCATTGTAYACGTATTAAACTATTAAAATTAATGCTAAGATTGTCTTAAATAAGCTGATACATTTTTTATGAGGATATCTTCTGTTTTCAGAGGTGTTATTAAGGATATATAATTGGCATTTGTAATTCTTATATTATGGATTAATTTGAATATATTTATGGTAGAGATTAGAAAGTGGGGGAAAATACTTAACAATTTATGACATAAACAAAAATGTACTTGTATACCTAATATTATCCTCCTATCTTTTTTTTTTTTTATACAGCATTATTTTGTTTACTGACGCTGTCACAATTGATTTTCACGGCCAAGATGGTAGAGCATTTCATGGTTCTAAAGTGGGAAAATTGTTTTTAACTACTCATCGATTGATTTTCATCAACAAATCTGACAAAGATGAGCTTTTATCATTTAGTATGCCATTTGTTACTCTTAAAGATGTAAGTATCTTTAAAACATAATTAATGTTTTCATATCTTATAATTTTGAAACTGTTGTAAAAATTAGGTGGAATTGGAACAACCAGTTTTTGGTTCAAATTATATAAAAGGTAAAGTACGTGCTCAACCTAATGGAAACTGGGTTGGTGAAGCAAAATTTAAGTTGATATTTAAGAAAGGCGGTGCTATTGATTTTGGAAGAGCCATGTTAAGAGCAGCATCAATGGGTAAGTTTTTTTTACATATAATATAATTATTATACACTGCTCTATCTCTGAGTTATTTTAATTAATTTAGCTAATAACAACTATCCTCAAATGGATAATCCGCCACCCTACGCTCCACCTGAAGGTCCATACTACATGGCTGATGTTCCATACGGTGTACCTCCTCCTGGCTACTATGGATGGATGCCTTCAACTGAAGCTTTTCCAGATGCACCACCTCGTAAATATATATTTTGTTTAATGACTAGTGATTTTTAGTTAAATTGTTATAAAGAATGAGCCTACGAACCTTGTTTTATTGACACATTTTATTATCAATTATAGAATTATAGAATTATCTCAGAAAATAGTTGATATATTTTCATATTTTTTTTAGCTCAATCTGTCTATAGAACTGATATGCCTCCACCATATCCAGGTATAATTGGTTTCGCTGGTAATCCAGGTTATGCAAGCGCCCCACCTGCACAAACAGCTCCACCTCCACAACTCTTTAATGGGCAAGGTATTCATATTTTTGAATTTTAGCAGTTATAATATAATATGTACTGTTAATATAACATATTAGCACCACTATTCATTTTAATGTTGTTCAGTAAAATTGTAATGTTATCCTACTTATAACTTGTAGGATCTTTTGAATACTTGTTTTTAAATGTTTGATTATTTACCATTAGTATTTAATTTTTTTCGTAGATAATACCAATAATAAATGAACAAGTTAGCGAAGAAAAAGTAAAAATTCATCAACATTTGTAATTAGAATTAAAAGGAGCATTTAATTGATACCTATATAATATATAAAAGTAATGATATAAATAATTTGATTTTTCGTTCCTGTATAAAACTAATGCAACTACAATATTTTGTTACTCCAGACTGGACTTAGACCATTGTAGTTATCCTAATTAATGTGTAAAATACAATAAAAATATAAAATTTCATAAATCTGGTTATTAGATTAAATATTTTATAAAGGAATAATATTATTAGTAGTATTATAAGTGGTCATGAAAATGAACATTGAAGGTAAAAGAGGAAGAGGAACACCATATAAGAAATGGTTGAATACTTTTGAGAATGATAATATGAGGGCTGTTAGTGTGTGCATAGTGGATGTGGAAAATCAAGAAAAGTGGAGATGTAGGACAAAGGTGGCCGACCAAACAGTTGGGAGAAAGGCGACGGTGAAGAAGAAAATGAATATTATTAATCATTAAAAAATAGTATAAATCTTAAAGTAACAGATACATAATATTTACAGATGCAAAAGCAGCAGAAGCAGCACAGAGTGCATACTTTGATCCCAACAGGCCACAAATGGCTTATGTTCCACCACCATCATACTATGTAAGTTTTTTTTTTTTTTTTATTTAAATAAGGCTTCAACTCCTGAGGTTATTAGCCTGCAGTAAATACAAAATACAAAATAATAGTTATAGAGTATGATCTTAAAGCTATGGGGACACATTATGTTTGACAATAGAGGGATTTTGTAGAGTATATGTACATTCAATTATTTTTCTAAATTAATTTTTCTAAGCCTATGTTTTTGAAAAATGTAAATTTTTATTTGGTATATTTATTTAACCCTACAGCACACGCTTCACGGTCAAAATGACCGGGCTTTTAGAATTTTGTTCATTGTTTCAAAAATACGAAATATTAACCTAACTCAATCTAGGTACCTTCTAATTAAATGATAAACTATAATTAGATACAACTCCTGACCTGACTGTTTATGATTTGATGCCTGTACTATTGAAGGGTTCAAAGTTCACTACCTAACAATATACGGTCTAAAAGACCGTGTGCATGCTATAATGTGACATTAATACTCAATTTAATTTTATGAAAACTCAAAATATGGGTTTTTTTTTAAAATCTCTTATCGCCGGTAAGACATTATTTTCTATCTATAAAACGTAAATGAATATTTTATTTTCATTGAGACTTGCAAGATTGTTACTAGTTGACATTGGTTTGCCATACTGTGTGTAACTACGAAGTTTAATTTGTTTATATTATGTCAATAATCAATAAAGTGATTTAAGATTATTAATTTTTAAATTAATAAATTTAAATTTTTAAATTTTTGATTTAAACATTATTTAAAATCAATAAAATAATGATTATTCCAATTTATTGAGTTTTAATTGAAATATTTTAATACACGGTCAAAAAACCTCGTGAATATTTTTAATGCGTGTGATATAGGGTTAAAAAAAATGTTATGTTATTTTGTAGATACTTCTTAAAATTAAAAAATATTATACTCTGTTTATGGTATTAGAAATTAACTTTTGTATCAATTATCTAAATTCTAGATTCTAATCTAGAGAAACTATCAATCTAAAAGGGTTTTCTCTTAATTAAAATAAAGCTATTATTTTTGATATCCAAATGTTTCTGGTACCTTTTAGAGCACACACTATGAATTATCAATAAAATAAAATATGCTTTGAAATCAACCCTTATAAATTATTTATTTATTACCATCATTATATTGGTTTATATCCTTCCATCAATTATAATATTTTTACTATAAGTAATATTATTTATATATTATTTTTTATTATAATGTAATATTATTCTTAATAAATAATAAATAATGCATAATATGTTTGCTATGTGTAGTACAATATTGTAACAAKTTGGTAATAGTTGATTACTCACTCTATTCAAATGAAAAAAGTTAAGTTAAATAATAAATTTGGTGCTATAAAATTTTTAATATCAACATGTTATGCATCAAATATTTAGTAAACAGATAAGTTTTATTAGATTTTTTGTTTGACTGCTGTCTTATAATTGAAAAAAAAAAATTTTTTTATTATGTTTCAGGAACTTCCTCCACCTTACAAAGAAGCTGAAAATAAGAAGAATGATTAAATACAACATGTTTATGTCTACATTCCATTGATTGTTTTTTTTATAATTTTATTGTTTTTTTTTTTTTTTTTTTTTAAGCGGTATTGAAATATGCAAAGATCTTTATAAATGTGATTGTATTGCATTATTTCAACAGTTTATTTATCTTAGTCAATATGGGAATAATTACCATCACATTTAATCATACATTAGAAATCGCTCATTGTTTTTTTTTTTTTTTAATTATTTTTATAAGATGATACTTGGATAACTTACCAAGTGTAGTAATATATCAAAAAAAAAAAAGATTGAAAATTATGGTTTAAAATCTCATGTGTTTCTAAGTTAGTCATTCATTTAGTACTATATATACTTAAAACATACTTTTAGTCAATGCAATGTCTTTATTTGTGTATTCCTTGTATGTTATCTCCGCATTAACACATTATTATCGATAATTTTCATGTTCTAAGTACTATTCAGAAAACATCATACTAATTATTATTGGCCTTGTAAATATTTTTCATTAAAACATGTGTTTTTACAAATTCTGTTGAATAATTTTAGATTTCAACAAAATGTTTGCAATATTTTTCCACTTTCGCATAAGAGATATTTATTGAATTTTTTTATGGGCGATTTCTATTATATCCACATGGTTATTTTATTCAAATATTATACTATTTTTATACGCTTATTTTGTTTCATTTTGATTTAGTTTAATATAAAAACCAAAAACATTTTATTCTTCATAATAAAAATTAACTAAAATATTTTAGTTTCATTTGATATTGTAAATCTTTATTTTATGATTTTGGTGTACAAGGTAACTATAAAATATTATTACAATAATAATAATAATAATAATAATAATAATATTTCACCTCTTGGCTACGGTTAGATTACACGTTAAATATCTGATGAGGCAGCAAATGAAGAAATTTAATTAGTATTATATTATTATATTTTAAAAAGTTATATTTTATGATACAATAATATATAAGTATTAATATAATATATTAAACCAAATGTACTAATTGCGTTAACATATAAATATTTTCCTTCGTCTATTTGAATTTTATGCGTGTCATAAATTATGTTATAATTTTATTGTAAATACCCCTGCATCTATGGTATGTACCAATTGAAAGTAATTAATGATATATAGTGGTTGATACAAAAAACTCATGCACGTGGTTATAACATATAATTACTCAATAGTCATTATGTAGTATGCTGTTAAAAATGTAGTAAACCGACAGAGTCAATTTACTATTTTATATATTAAATGATTACAATGTAGCGATATATAAATAATATACATTAATGACAAATAGTTAAGAGCCGATGCGCATCTTCAGACTAGTAAAAACAACTTAATTTTATTCACTACCTATCTCATATATATCGATGCGCATCTTCAGCCTTGCAAAAACAATTTAATTTTATTACCATTTGTAGAAATATTTGATTATTAATAAAAAAGTTACGAATGGGAACCGCTTTCAACTAGGTACATTTGTCAATAACAATAACCACGTCGGTACCTTATGATTCACCTCCTAGTCTCTTACTTGGAACACTTAAACCACCAAGATTCTGCATAAATAAAGGACTTCGTCATACTGTCATAGCAGAATCTCTAGAGCTACTCTCGGTCTACGTTTTTGGAATATTGGACAAAATTAAATCTGCCTCGTTTTTATAAATGATGTGTTGGGTTTTTCTTTCAACTTTATTATCTTTTATTTGTTACTGTAGTAGGTAATTTTTACTGTAATTTCTACTATAGAATTTATTAGGACACAGAAATGCAAGTAAAACGACGGAAATTGCCTAATGTGCAAATTTTTCGGTCTCCTAAAGAAGGCTGTCAGATAACAAGATCGGCACGAGCTGGCAGCAGATTTTTAATTTCACTGACTTGAACCAACGTCACAACAGTGGGTTAACACTCAGTCAAGTCGTTTAATTTGTATTTATGTTTGTATTGGAATTGCCTACGCATATGGTAATGTAAATCGGATACGAAGAATAAATTAAGGAGTGTCTTCAAATTGACGAAGCTCGTTTCGCTGGCCGTTGGAAGTACGATAGGGGTAGACCATTAGCTGGAGACGGGCCTACCTCCTTGACAGATACCTATAAATACCAATAATAAAATAAAAATGACGTATATGTAGAGCGCATAGGTACCGAACCAGAAACTTGTATGTATAAAACGCATACTGAACTAGCACCAAGTATTTTTTAGATAGGTATTTTTCTTGTTTGAGGAGTGTACAGAAAAAACAGTAAAAACACTCCTGGGTCCTGGTCATTTCACTGGCCGAAGTATAAACGTACCGTATATAATGTGTTGTCAATTAGTTCGCATAGCTAATTCGTTGCTTCCTATGTAATAAGACTAATAGGTCTTACACATTTATTTAATAGTGTATAATTTTCTATCGTCACAACAATATTGATGATAGTTAACAAGGAGATGAATAATCTTAGTACCTACATAATATCAGCGGCGTCATTTCAACTTTTTTATTGTTGATGCCAAATTTTTGCAGGCCATTCAAACCATTACCAGGCCAAATGGAAGTTTTGTTTTGGTAGATAAAGGAGGGGGAGGTAAGCGGTGACAAAAACTTTATTTAATATGTCAATATTAGTATGAAAACATCACAATATCATTACTATTTTTGAAGAACTATGTGTAGGTACTTTTAATGAGTTTAAATTATATTGTGGATGCCAGTTGTATTTGGATAGTAAATTTATGGGTATAAACTATAAAGTACCTTAATAGTACTTAATCGAACCTAACCTATACATTTTTTTTCCCTGCACACTCAAAATAAATAATTTAGCTAACCCTGAAATTTGTTTTATGGGTTACCTTGTTCAAAATGACACAAAAAAAAAATATTTATGTATATAATACCTATATCGGCATATCGGCGCTTATATTTATTGTTGG